AAAGGCATGGCACATGCTCTCGGTGTGATACACCTTGTCCAAGGCCACGGCATGCTCGTAGAAGGAAAACCATCTCACATCTTTGGCCGTCTCGGCCTTCAAGTGCAGGGAGCCTGAACAACAAGGCTACGGCGGGGCGGTTTAGGGTTTAGGGTTTACGGTTTAGGGTTTAGGGTTTAGGACCGAAGGTGAAACAGACAGACTGACTGTTTGTGTCTTCTCAGCAATGAAACTGCAAACCGAGGATAGGCGTGAATAATTCGCAGACAGGTTTTCCGAAGAGGCCTTTGCGGCGACGGAGCTCTTGGAGCAGCTGAAAGGGCGTGCACTCACCGACACTTTCGGCGTTCTCCCAGCCGGCGAGGTCCTTGGCCACCCCGGCCAACCACATCTGAACAAAGTCGTTCTCAGGGTTCTTCTGCAGGGTGTGCATCAGATTGTCTCGTGCGTCCGCAATGGTGCGGCCAAACCTGGAAGACTTGTACGGCCCCCGGGAAAATCGGAACAAGGCCATGAGCCGTTTCAAGAACGGCTGTCCCTCGTCGAGAGCACGAATCGCGGCAGCAGCTTTGCGAGCACACTTGTGAAAAATGTCAGGCCACATCAACATCCACAGAGACTGGCTGCAGCAGTGCTGCCATGCCACATGGCCCTTGTCAACAGGTTCAAGGAAGGACAACTTGAACAAAAAAATCTAGTGGAAACGGCCTACCCTACCAGCCTCTGTTCCTTCGTCGGCCGCAAAGACCAGGCGCGTGAAATCCTCGTGCTCGTAGTGGTCAGCACGAGCTTCCAATCTCTCACTATCCCAGATGAGGTGCAGGTTTGAGCCAGCTGGAGGTGGGGGCACCATGACATCCATCTCCGACTGATCGTAGGATATGCGACTGCAGCCTGCTGTGGCAGGCTTCAGAGGATTGGGCGGGCGGCACTTCAGCAAAGTCCACCCTTGCGGCATAACGTGCTGCAGGCTGTTGGCAAGGGCACAAAGCAAGTTCTTCGTCGGCGTGCGATACTCTCGGAACTTGAAGGCATCCTTCGGCATGCCCACGGAGGACGTTGCGTCAGCAGGCCTCTCCCCTTGAAGAACCTGTCCCAGGGTCTCGACCGCCTGCTCGGCTTCTGTCTTGCCACAGGCACTCACATTGACCATCTGAGTGGGGCCGGCAAAGTGGTAACCACCAAGACGGAGGACAACTGAGAGCACCTGTTCAGGGTCTATGTGCACGTATCCCCAGAACATCGCGTGGTCTAGAAAGTGTCCGATTCCTGATCAGTCGCGTCCAAAGCAAACCCCCTCTTTCGGCCCGGAAGGGGGGGTTTGCTTCGGTGCCTATTTAGGGTCCCATTCCAGGTGACACACGTTTGCGTTGGTCTCGACAGTTAAGCCCACCCAGAATAGGTCTAACAGCTACTCGGGGACCCCTTGCTCGGGAGTATTGTTTGCCCACGGAGCCCTAAACCCCAAACTCTCAACCCCAAATGGACGAAGCAAAGGCACGTGTTCCCCGGCGTAGCTCGCTCCGTCCATGCAGAAGTTTATGGTCTGAAGCTTCTGCTTGCTGATGCAGGCAGCAACTTGGGACTCGGCCTTCATGAGCAACCTGCCCGCGTACTCCTCCCCGGTCTTCGTGGCGAAGACAGACCTCTCGGACACGATGCCCATGTCGGCGAGGTTGCGGTCGGTTTTTAGTGTCACGTACCCAGCACCACGAGCCATGAACCTGCTTGTCAGAGCCATCTTCAAGGATTTGTTCCCGCGTCTTCTGCTCGACTGCAGAAAGGGATGGTACTTGGCCTGCAGTGTCGGATCCGGACAAACGTCCGTGCAGTGGCTTTCGATGGCCTCCTCGGCCTGTTGTGCGAAGAAATGCAAAATACGTTTCGTCATTCTCCGGAACCCTAGAGAATCCCAAAATACAGTATCGGCTCTCATGCGGAGGCATGTCGTCACCAGCACACTCAACGGCATGGTCTCAGAGACATTGGGTGCCGTGAGTTTGCGAGAAAACCTGAGATCACATAAGAATGACACCCCCTGCACCTATCACCAGAAGAGTCACGAGAAGCCGAGGAGCTTGGACCAACTCAGGCCGAGCTCCTTGAGCACCGATTGAAGCCTTGAGACATGCACCTGGTTCTCCTGCACCTCCATCTGGAAAATGTCTCCACTCGGCAGCAGCTGGAAAGGGCCGTTCACGTGCATGTGCTGCTCCAGCGATTGAAGCACACGGACACACTCAACAATGCTATCTGCGTTGAAGCTCTGCGTGGGCAGCAGTGTTGCCTGCATCACCAAGATGCCTAGAACAGTGCAGCCGTCCACAGGAAGGTTCGTGAGACCTTGCACAGAGCCCTTGTAGCTGCTTTTCCGGCAAACCTGCAGAAGCTTGCCAGAAGCACGTGTGCAAATGCTTCGGACTTGAAGTGGACTCGGGTTTTGGAACCGCAGGACACGAAACTAAGTAAGGCTGGCACATGACCCGGGCAAACGTCGAAGGCATGAGCCAAAGGCAAGTAGTTGCTGCAATAGTTTTTTGTAAACCATTGCGTAAATGGCGTTCGGAGATGGTAGA